ACCAAACTGTATGGGAAATACTTCAAAGAATCAACAACTGGGATTTCATCTTATTGAAAAGTTTTTGCACATCTAAAGAAGTCACCAATAAAGTAAAAAGAAAACCCACGAATTGGGAAAAAATTTTAGCCAACTGCCCCTCAGACAAAGGACTTCTATATAGGACATATAAAGAATTTAAAAAACTCAGGCCCCACAAATTCAAAGACCCAGTTCAAAAATGGGCATCTGAGGTGAATACACACTTCTCTAATGACGAGATACTAATGGCAAATAAACACATGAAAAAAATGTTCAACGTCATTAGAAATGCAAATTAAAACAACGTTGAGATTCCATATCATCCCCATCTTGATCATTCCTAGCAGCAAAAGAATTTGAAATGTATTTTTAACCAGATACCTTGTTCTGCTAATCAACACTGGGTCTCTGTGAGTAAGACAATGAACATGTATACTGGCCAAGCCCTCAGTAACTGACAAAGTGAAGATTCAGCTAAGTAGACAAAAAGAAAATAGATACAAGGAGAATCAAGAAGGCAGCCAGGCATGATGGTTCATGCCTGTAATCCCAGCACTCAGGAGGCTGAGGCAAGAGGATCACGGAGGGTTCAAGGCCAGCCTGGGTTACATATTGAATTGAAGGCCAGTTTGAACTACACAGCAAGACCCTGTCCCAAAAAAAAGGGGTTGGGTGGGGATGTAAAAGAATCAAGACGTGTTATGTACATGTACCAACTCCCCATGATAAAATCATGTACTTACTGCAAACTTGTACTAATAAGCATTTCTAAAACAGGGAACCAAGGGACTTCAATCTCAGAATAAAAGAAAAAAAAAGAGGGGCTGGGGATTTAGCTCAGCAGCACAGCCCCTGCCTGGCAAGCGCAAGGTTGTGAGTTCGATTCCCATTACCAGAAAACAAAACAAAACAAACAAACAAACAAAAAAAAGATGTTAAGAAAGAAAAGTTCTAAAGAAACATTACTAAGTTTGACAGTCGGGGTAAAGTAGTACTTCTGGAGAGAGTACTTTCAGGACAGTTTTAAGATGAACAGTAGTTGCAATAACATTTGGTGGTAGCTCAGAAGGTTAGAAAAGTGGATGGAAGTTTCCCTTTTTTAGGCTAAGAGAAACCAGATTCCTTGGGCTCTTGGTAGAGGAATTAGTAAAGATCGAAGATCTAAAGAAAGGCAACCAAAATTATAAAAATAAAATGCCAGACAAGGTAGAGGAGAATATCAAAAGCACAATTGACCAATTTAGATTAGAACCCCCCCCAAAATCTCTTCAGATGAGAAAGTGAGAAAAGATAATTATAAAATATTCACCTATCTTTAAAATTGAACAGTCCAAGCCAACAATTATTTATTAAGTGTTCTCAGATACCAGAGCTTTGTGCAGTGCTAGAGATACAAAGTGAATGAGATAAATTTCCTACTATAAAAGTGAAAATTTAGTTTATACAAACACATGTAGGCTAAATGTAACCATTCTAAGCTATATTCAACATCCATATCAATACCTTGCAAATTCTTAAGTAATTTCTCCTTAAAGGAAGACAAGAAAGGTTTCTTAATAGAAGTGTCACTAGAGTTAACTTTTACAAACAGATTTTAAACTGAGATTTATTCATCTAAGGGGAGGAAAACATGCTTTCAGAATATTCAAGACTTAAAAGCTATCATAAAGAATGTCAGTGAAGGTGGAAAAATATATCTCATTTTCCAGGACATGATGAGGAGGCTGTTTATTTACTGTAAATGATTACTGTTGGACAGAACAACAGCATAAGAAGCTACAAAAGTGAGGCCAGATTGTGAAGTGACTTCTATATTATATTGATTCAATTTTGCACAAGAATGTTGCAATTGAACTACTTTATTAGAAAAGTTAAAGTGATGTATCAGTCAGTGTTTCTCTACTGATGTATCAGTAGAGAAACAGATATACCAGTATATAAGAATTTACAATATTAGTTTACAATGATCACCTACAGAGTCGGATGAGGAGGTATGCAGAGGGAGTCTGCACACCAGAGACTGAAGGATCCATCCAAGGTCTGAAGCTCACCGCAGTGTCCCATGTGAGTGCGTATGAGGAGGCCTATGGGCTGTGATGGTGCACTGAAGTGTCTAAGCCAGAAGGCTGAAGGATCTGTGTGGGAAGCCGAAGAGTCTGCGGTGGAGGCCAGGATGATGTCCAAGCTGAAGGTGAAGACTGGAGCTCCTCCGAAGAAACAGAAGCAGATCTACCCTTCTTCGTTTCCCTTTTATACCATCCAGGTGACCCCCTTGGGTGGGTTTTTCACACCGTAGGCTGTGGACTTGCTGAGCTTCTCTAACTCACATCGACACAATCAACCAACCATCACAAGTGGTAACTTCAGTTACCACACAGAGGTTGGAGTTACTGGAGGAGAGAGACAAGTTAAGAAGTGATACTCATCCACCCCGGAGGGGCCGGAGTTCCAAATGGGGTTGTGACAGTTGAAGTAATAAGTAGAGCATACAGAACTAATAGGGGTAAAGTTGGTAGGTAGGAGTAAGGGAATAGATTCCAGATTTCTGATTTAGATGATTGATAGCAATCTCTCCATTATGTAATAAAAATCAGAGAGATGGAAGATGGAGAAAAAGAAAATTTTCAGGTAGAGCCATGAGTGCAATGTATGATCTTAAACATGTATTTGAGGGTCATGGACCTTTGTGAATGTCATGAAATATTATGTATCAAAAAAGACACAGACATAGATAAAGGAAGATAAGAATATCATGAGGTCAGAGAAGAAACTATTGACTGAATTTTTTTGTGTGTGTGACAGAGTCTCACTATGTAGCCCAGGATGGCCTTGAATTCCTGGAGATCCTCCTGCCTCAGCCTCCCAAGAGCTGGGATTACAGGCCTGCACCACCATGCTAAGAATGAGACAAATTTCAGAGTAAATGTAAACATAAAACAAGTTCCTTTATATATATGCTTAAATTATATATAAACACACTGAATAATTTAAGTGTTTTAAAAGTTACACTTATGTAAGTGTCAAATGAATTGGTAACTATGCACCTTATACACTTAGAACATTACCTGTACGTATGAAGTGCAATCTACATATTATGATCTGTCTCCTTATTAATGTACTGTATTTATCTGGTATATTGCATGGATGAAAAGAAAAAATTGAAAGAACCAAATGTAGACTACTAAAAACTACATTTGAGGTCAGGTGTGATGGCACAATCCTGTAATCCCAGTACTTGGGAGGCTAAGGCAGGGAGATCACTGTGAGTTTGAGGCCAGCCTGGGCTACAAAGTAAGTGCAAGGCCAGCATGAACTGCACAGTGAAACCATGTCTCAAAAAGACAAAAAAAAAAAAAAAAACCCACTACATTTGGATGCCAGGTATGGTGGCACATGCCCATAATTCCACCACTCAGAAGGCTGAGGCAGGAGGATCACTGTGAGTTTGGAGGCCAGCCTGGGCTCTACAGTGAGATCTTGTCTCAAAAAACTAAAACCACCACTACAACAAAGATTACATTTGGAAGTTAACTGAAAAAAAAATCAGAAATATCCTACAAAAGAAGCAAGACTAAAATAATATGTTCAAGGATATGTAGTGAGACCTTGACATCTTTTTAAGAGAAAGAGCCAAAGGAGAAAGACATTTCCTTAGACATAGGGGAAAGAATCTACAGACAAGTAAAGGATTGGTAAAAGCTGAAAATAGCATTGGCCAGGAGACCAGTGACTTGCCTAAATATTTTAATAGTTTTATTTTTGGTAGAAGGACTTACCTAATAGAGAAAAATATGGCTCTCAGAAGCATGTTCTCCTCATGACTTGGGGGTGAGCATTTGAACTGGGTGGAATGTATGGATTTGAGACTACGTTTTGTGTCAAAATGGTTATTAGATTTTGATTATTTGAGTGAACAGAAAGTCCTGCAACTTTTTGTCTTTTCCTGCAGGGAAAGGAGAAGGCTTCCTTCCACTGGTTGCATTTTAAGGAGCTAGTTGGACACAGGTGATTCCACTTCAAGGACTCTCAGGTTCTACATGCTGATCATAGAACCCCTCGTTGCTGAGCGTGAATAGTGTTGAAATTAATTTCCCTGGGAACTCAATGCATTATTTCAAGCTTTGGTAGTTAAAAAATATTTTATATTATTCCAAAATAATTAAAATGTATTTAGCACATTTTAAAATGAATAATCCTAAGGAAGTATTTTATGTTAACAAGCAGATTTCCTCCTCTTATCAATCAGTGGCTCTTTTTATATAACCAGAATGTGGAAACAAGATTGCTCTTTGTACCAGATAATGAAAACGACTATCTTGTTTATTCATCCTCTTCTCTTTCCAAGCTAAGCACTTTTATTTACTCAGTGAGTCTTACAGCATAGATATTATTTCCCAGGGCACTCATTATTGTGATAATTTCTAGTTTTAAGGTTTCATAATCCATTCAGTTTATGAACTCAAGCGTATTCTGAATAAGCGCAGTCTTCAGAAGTCTAAAGTGGGATTTGGCCTCTTACTGGCAACTTATCTCATGTTTTCAAGCCGGGTAAGATAATCCGTCCGACTCTCTTGATGCTTTGTTGTGTTTTCATCTTGTGGGTCATTAGCCTTTCATGTCATGATGGTTCTATCGGCTACTTCTACGAAAAGGGGGCTTGAAGGAAACAGGTGTGTGCCGCGCTCGAACAGTGTTAGGTCTGGAAGTAGAACAGAGAACCATAGTTTTGAATGTAAGATGAAAACATGGAAGACAATTATTAATGTTTATAATGAGAACTAGGAGTTGAGGAGAATAAGAAATTGTTTAAAAGAACTTGAGGAAATCCCTGACTTTTCCTTAAGGGGCCTGATCAACCTTTTAATGTAACTCAGGAAGTCTGGCTGAGGCTCAAATGGAAAATTAGACACAAGGGAGAAGACTCAATCTGAGGGCTTCGAAGGTGCCATTGTTCTCCTGGGCTTATAAACGGCGTGTCCGAAGTCCCTCCAGCATTGAGGAGAGGGACAGCGCCATGGCTACAGTCAGGATGCTGCTGGTCCTGTTGGCAGTGGCTCTGCTGGCCCTGAGCTCGGCTCAGATCCTAGAGGACGGTAAGCGTGGAGCTGGGATCGTAAGTGGACAAGGGGGTACAGTTCATGCAAAAGAGGAGTCAGCAAGCCAGGCGTGGTGACGCACGCCTGCAATCCCAGCCCTCGGGTGCCTGAGGTAGGGGAATTGTTGCAAGTTCGAGACCAGCCTGGGCTACAGCGTGAGCACAGGGCCAGCCTGCACTGCATAGTGAGACCCTGTCTCAAAAAGAAAAAAAAAAAAAAAACAAAAAGGAGTTGGCTTGATGCTTCTCAGAAATGAGGTACCTTATATGCAGGAAGCAGGTCAGTAAGAGGGGAGGTAATGTTAGTTTCTACATTGTTTTCAAGGGTGGCAAATACCTTCAATGATGACCTCAGTCCTAAGCCAGCATCTTCGTGGTAGGTACAAGTTTCACTCTATAGTACCAGTATATGTATGAATTTTCAGAAATTTGCTGAGGGTAAAACGATGCCTCTAAATAGAGTGAGAATTCTGTAGTTCATCTAGTTATCTTGTTTCATTCACATCAAACACTTAAACATTTAGAAAAACTGAGTTTTGATTAAATTTAAATTTATTTTATCAAATTATTCACTGTATGAATAATGTATTCACAGGTATTCACCTGTATTCACAGGTGCTACGTAACTGTCTCTGGTTTGTTACTTAAAAATACTTATAAGTCTGGTCATACATCTGATTGCCAGTGAGCTTTTTTTTTTTTTTTTTTTCTCCGGTACCGGAAACCGAACTCACGACCTTGCACTTGCCAGGCAGGCGCTTTGCCGCTGAGCTAAATCCCCAGCCCCTGCCAGTGAGCTTTAATCATAAACCTGGGGATTCCTACAAATGGATAATTTCAGGTATAATAAAGAATACAAGTAGAAAGGACATTCTCAGTCTGTTGTGCTTTTAAATATGGAAGATATATGGCATATTTTAATGGTACCAAGTATACAGATGCAGAATAAAGAATCCATATCATTGCTTAAATGACTGTAAAATCCATATATCAAATATCTTGTACGATAAACAATGAGAAATTAGAATGAAAATTTTACACTGCCTGCTGCGCTGGTACCAGGGATCAAACACAGGCCTTTCACACTGAACCATATCCTCAGCCTTTTTTCTATTTTTTAGTTAAGAACAGTGTCTCACTCAGCTGCTAAGTTGCCCAGGCTGGACTCAAGTTTGTGATTCTCCTGCTTCAGCCTTCCAGAGTGCTAAGATTACAGAGATGTGCCATGATACCCAGAAAATTTTATGTTCTTATAAAATATTTTGGTATTCAATAGAAACAACCTAAGTTTAAAAAGTAGAAATATTAAATATTAACTTGTTCACTGCTAACAATCTTAAACAATGCAGGAAATTATAATAGATTGAGTTTTGAACCTATTGTTTTATAACAAGACACATTTGTTATTCGTGGAATTTTTTTTTTTTTTTGGTTTTGAGACAGAGTCTCGCTATGCAGTTCAGGCTGGCCTTGAGCTCACTTTGTAGCCCAGGCTGGCCTCGAACTTGCAATAATCCTCCTCCCTCAGCTTCCCAAGTGCTGGGATTACAGACATGTGCCACTACACCTGGTGCTCATGGGAAATTAGATTCCTAAATGGTAAGATTTCCTAAAAGGAGTGTAAGTCTTGGTCAGAATCTATACAAAAGATCCTTTTATGATAAAATTCTTTTGGCCTCATATTCTAGCCACTAGGATGAGCTAAGTTGAGTTTATTTTTACTCCGATAGAGGAGATGGTTATTTTGCTTTAGGTCCTAAGTTTGGGGGTGAGGGGAGAAGCAAAGTTGGGATATTTAAGAATTTGGGGTCAGATTTAATGAGGACTTTGTTAGAAATGGGTAAAATTCATGCCTTGGGTAAGAATGAGACACAGGTTCTGAGATTCTGAAGAGGGCCTAGGAGACTGGACAATAAATGGATTTAGGGGGCCTGATAGAAGCATGTTTGTTGAAATGTGTTTTAGACAAGTTCAAGAAATAAACAATAGCTGTTTTGGAACAGCTGTGAGGTATTTTTGGGTAGAAATGTGAGCTCTATAGATGTAGATGGTTTCACTTGTCTAACTTGTCCTGGGGAAGGTATCAGGTCATCTTTATTTTGTCTACAACCATAGTGGCTCTCCATATGAAGAAAATGAGAAAAATGCTTACCTTCCTCCTCAGCCCTTGTCTAAAATCAATGCTCAGGACTAGAGTTCTACTTTGCCCATGTTGATGCATTCTATCCAAACCTGTTAGATATTTTCCCCTTGAGTTCTCTTAGGCAATTTCTTACTTCTGTATCTGTGAATACATAGCTGAAGTCCAGGAAATCATGTTTTAAGCGTGTCTTGTTTTTCTTCTAAAATCCTAGGTGTTCATCCTGAAGACGCTCTTCAAGTGCTAGGTAAATCTTTGTATAAGGATATGTTCCCTTTTTTTTTTTTTTCATTTAAAAGTTCTCAATATTGGGTTTAAGGGGTTACAAAGGGCAAGTGAATAACAAAACCCATAGGCTTTATCAGTCTTCAGCAATTTTTTTTTTTTTAGTCTTCAGCAATTTTAAGTGTGAATCATCTTTCTTTTGACACTGAAATCCCTTGTGTCTGTGCTCTAAGTAGAGTCTGGGTATCAGCAGAACACAAATTCCCCATCCATTTGTGAATGCTTTACTCTAAATCTCCCTACACACAGTGGCTACTACAGCAATTGAAAAACACAAATCCCTTATGTTTGTAAGGAGTTTCATTGACATATAACTAATTTGAAGCAGAAATATTCTGTAATTTACCTAAAATATTACATGGAGTCATTGAATTTATCAATGTACATTATTTCTTCTTCTAACCAAATTTATAGCGCTAATGTTTCATTCTTTAGCTTAAACCCCAAGGTATCTACTTATGTGCTAATTTTTTCAGAGTCTGTAAACTTGAAAGCCATTGTTAGTCATACACATTTCAGATAAAAAGTCTGAATGGCCTGTGTGAAAGGCTGCGTAGGAGGAAGGGTACAGACAAGACCACATGAGATAACTAACTGGTTATGTTATTTCACCAAAGAAATGGCAAAGTTGACTAAAAAAGAATTAATTAGTTAAGTTCTGTTGCTTAAAGAAAAGCTTATGCTCAATAATTTTCTGTAGTTCCTGACTTGTCAGTGACTCTGCTATTCAGTTCATTACGGCATTTCCAATTTCAGCCTGGTTTTTGTTCTTTCTTTGTAGGATCCCCTCAGGAGGAAGAGTCCCAACTATCATGTGAGTTCAACTGAATTATTGAGAATTTTTCTAAACAAAATCTAGGAAGGTCATTGCTATTGGTCTAATCTAAAATTCCTACTTTTGTTTGTTTATTTGTTGAGTCAGGTCTCACTTTCGTCCATCTTGTCCTTGAATTCATTATGCAGCCCAGACAGGCCTCAAATTCATGATTCTCTGTTGGACTTCTCATCCAACTCTGTCCAGGGTGAACAGGTCCCCCAAACTAGGTGCCCGCAGATGTATAAGAAAAGTAAGAAAAAAATCAAACCAAGAGAGCCAAAATCCTGTGATCAGGTGCTAGCATCCTCTAGGACTGCCTGACTCCTGATTATCATCTTCAGTAGCCTTTTATTCAGAACCCACCAAGGAGGCAGCAGAGGAATTGGAAGATATCAACTGTTTTAGCAAGGACAATACAACTCAATTATCACAGGAATGCAACCTGACCAGTAAGCCATCATGTTATCTTCCTTCGCCCATACCTCAGCAAAGCATCTAGTATTGATGGGGGGGGGGGACGGGGGCTTACAATGCTTATGCTAGACTTCCTCCAGAATCCAACAATCATGGCTTGGTCAGGCCTCAGGCAATACACAAAATAGTAACTAAAGAATGTCCTTCTTCACAATTCTCCTGTCTCAGCCTCTCAAGTGCTGGGATTACAGGCATGGGCCACCATACCCGGCTCCTAAAATACCTACCATTTTTTAATAGAAAACTGTTCACAATTTAAAATTTCTTTTCTAAACTAGAATAGTTTACTTTTTGGTTACAAATTGTACAAGGAATATAAAACACTAAGGAAAAAGTGTGTGTGAGAGAGAGAAGGGGTAAAAAGAGAGAGAAAGGGAAGGTGGGAGGGAGATTTTCTTTGGATTTAAGAGATTTCTGAGGATCAGCATGGGTTTTCTACTTTCCCTTTGATTTTTTCCTTTTTTTTGGTTTGTTTTTGTTTCATTTTGAGACAGGGTCTCACTATGTAGTTCAGGCTGGCCTTGAACTCACTTTGTACCCGAGGCTGGCCTTGGACTCACTGTGATCCTCCTGCCTCAGCCTCCGAGAGCTGGGATCACAGGTGTGCACCACCACAACAGGCTGATTTTTTCTTGCTTAAGGTACTTGACATCACTGCTATTGTGACAACATACTCATCTAAGGATTCCTGAAAGAAAGGCTTTGATTATGTACGTTTTTCTCTTGCTATGAATCCAATAAAATGTAGTATCACTCTGGCAGCACGAAGGATGCTGCATAGGTCAGTGAAACATGGTTACTGTCCTTACAACGGAACTCAGAGTCTGATCGAAGGTATTACCTGGACACAGCCATGATCACTGTCAGAAAAAGGGTGAAAGAAGATATTGTGAGAGCTCAGGGCAGGGCTGGAAAGGAAAGACCTCATAGAGAACCAGAGAACTGAGCAGTGGGAGAGAGCAGAGTGACTCAAATGGCTAAATCTGTGTGTATATCTCCATGGCTTCAGTAGTCTTGGAACACTGAGTATTTCACCAAAGTTAAAGGATAAAGTTGAAAATATGTGTTACTTGCAGGTAGTAAAAGATGTCTGAATGGCAAACTGAATTTTCTATTTATTCTACAGACAACAAAGACTTTTCTAAACAGGGAGTAAGTCAATAATTTCACTATTGATCTGACAACAACGAGAGGTAGCAGCTTTCAGTCGCTGTACCCAACAAGGGCACAGGTGTCTTTCAAGCTCTAAAGGTTAGATCTGGCATGCCGAGGGAATGCAATGCCAGTAAGCATATGTTCTATCTGCCAAAGAGTGATTGTAAGCAAGAGTGATGGCCAGGAGATCATAGAGAGATCACAGAAGCTGATGCAGGGGATCGTGAGGGCTTCTATTTAATCACAAGAGTCAGACATTTGCAAAAGAAGACAATATGGGTGCATTTTACTTATATTTTTTTGTCTGTGTAGTATTGAGGATTGGACACAAGGCCTTCTCATTGAGCTACATCCTAGCTGGTTTTTTTTTTAATTTTAATTATATTTTGAGAAAACATCTTGCTAAGTTACTGAGTTGCCCAGGCTGGCCTCCTCCTGCTTCAGCCTTCTAGAGTGCTGGGATCACTATGTATGAGTTACTTATGTATTTTAACTGAAATGTAAACCTAAGAGTTTGTAGGTGATAGAAGAGAGTGGGGTACTGTATGATTTGTCTGTTACTGGCAAGGAAAAGGTGGCTAGTAATCTTCCCCTTGATCACTGAACCTCTGTGAAGAGATTGTGTGTATGTACAGGTAGAGAAAGTGACATTATCTGGTGGTTTCTCTCAGACACCATGAGAATCTGGCGGCTTATGGGTCATTTCATGTATGTCATGATGAGTTTAGAATGGACGGCAAAACAGAATAGTGACAGATGTATAGGAAGAGAGGGCAGGATAAATTGTGAAGGACCAAAGTGACCAACTAAACACGAGTTCTTTTCATCTTCTCTTCTCAACACTGGGCCCTGGCCACTACCCAAAATCATTTAAACCTGTGAAATAGCACTTCTCACTCGGCTTAGGCTATGTAGTTTCCACACTTGCCTTCCTTCAGCATATGGCTCTTCTTTCTTTCTTCCTTATTCTCTGGATCTGTGTTCTTGCTCTTAAACAGATGACGGCTCAGATGGAGAAGCACCAGGGGAATCACAGGTCATTCCTCAAAAGGAACCCAAAGGTCAGCGTGGCAAGAAGGGCAAAGGTGGGAAGAAAGGCCGTGGCGGCCGTCCCGCCCAGGAAGACCAGGAGAGTTCCCCTGGAAAGCAGCAAAGAGGCCAAGGTCGCCAGGGCAGTCGAGGTGGCAAAGGTGGTAAAGGTGGCCAGAGAGGCCAGCGTGGAAGAGGTGGCCAGGGAGGTCAGAGCCAGAGCTTTGCGTTTGACCAGTGACGAGGAAACCCAATTGGAGATGGCCCTGGTGACCCCCCCAGGTACTGCACGCCTTTTATTCAACAGTGTAGTGAATTTCTCTTTAAACTCTCCGTTCCCTCTTATTTCTGTTCATTTATCTCATTTATAAAGTTTTTCTTTAATTTCTTTTTGAACTCCTTCCCAGATCTGTTCTTGCTGTGATTCACCCCACCTCCTCTCTATACATAGAAAAATCTCCATTTTTATAAGACCAAGTGTTACTTCCACCCTGTCAGATTTCCCGACTCTTTCATTCCACAACTTCCCCAGGTTCTCCCTCTCTTCTCTCCACCTCTTTCTTCTCCTCCTTCCCTATTCCCTTCTTCTGGCCTCTTCCTCCTGTTAGTTCTCCCCTTCCCCACCTCTTGTCTCCTCTCTTTCTTAATGTGATCTCCTGAAATGAAACTACTTAACGATAAAGCTATCTAGCATAGGTTATGTCCAGGCTAATTTTTTATTACATTGTCTAAAATCCTTTCCTTTGTTGCAGAATCTGATGGAAAACAACTGGTGACTTTGGACTTTTCAGCAGTGTATACTTCTTTATCTTTCCTTTCTCCAACTTCAAAACATCAATAAAATCATCAGCATCAATGTGTTGGCTCTTGTTTTCCTTCCAGAATCACGGGTCCTTACCCAGGAGCAAGAAAAATGGGTAAGGACAAACAAGGTCCTGTCTACACTCCAACTGATCTACATTTTGGGGCTTTACAGAGAGCTCAAATTTAAATAACTTCATGAAGATTTAAATATCATCCATGTTTGAAAGCAAAAGATGTTCTTGAAATCAGCAACTAAACTATAAATATCCACATCCTTTCCTTAATTCAAGTGGAATTTACCACATAAACTTCTTTAATCTCTGCCAGTATTTCAATGCATGTGTGCCATTTTGTTATATCTGTTTAGCTAGGATTCCAGGGAGCACCCAGATCACCAGAAGCCAGGGTAGGGAGACGCAGAGCAGAGAAGACCAGCCCTGCTGACCCTTTGACTGTGACTTTATTACATACAGAATATGAGGGAATAAATTTCTGTTCACATCTCCCAGTTTGTGGAGTGACATTAGAGCAGCCCTAGAAAAAGTACTGTGAGATAATTCACTAACAAGATTTTGTTTTATGAATAGGCATAGACAAATTGTAACCTACTTAGTCCATTCTGTACCTCACAGCTGTTGAGTGAAGACCCACAGAGATACTACAGGAGAGCATCTGTCAGTGGGCTCAAGACAGTCTAGCTAGGAATTGTGTTTAATGTAGATCGCCTTTTCCCCCTTTTTTCTTTGATGAGGCTGGGGATTGAACTCAAGCCCTTCCCATTGAGTGACTTCCTCAGCCATTATTAATTTTTTTTATTTTGAGACAGGATCTTATTGTCACTAAATTGCCCAAGCTGGGCTCCAACTAGTGATCCTCCTGCTTCAGCCTCCCAGAGTCCTGGCGTGTACAGCGGTGCACTACCACACCTGGTTTGTTCTCTGTTTTTCTCAGTGTCAGCACATAGTTCTATCTGTGGGGAAATCACATGTGGGAGTGCAGGTGCCCAGGAAGACTGAGGGTGAGGTCAGGCGAGGGTGAAGATGAAGCTCCAGAGGCCGCACTCCACCAAGGGCGCACATGGCCTCCTTTTGGTATTAGTATTAATGAAGAATCGCAGGCAAAGGTAACAGAAAGAGAAATTAAACGTGTTTAATTTTACTTATTTCCACAGTCACTCTTACACTGAATTTTGGACTCAGATTTAGAATGAGCCTTGCTTTCCAAAGCTAGTTTGTGATTTTTTCCGTGTGCATCCGGCTTCTGAAGTAGTAAGACCACTGTGTGGGTGGGCTCTGGCACATTTCACAGTGCAGAATGTATGGAACATTTGAAACCATTTGAATATGGCTTCAGCGAGGATAAAAGAGAGCAGTTTCTATGCTGCGAGCAAGCTAGAAGAGCCAATTGTGATCTTTCCCGTTTCCATTAGAGCGTTGTCCCCAGTACTGGGGATTTCACCCACTTTGCACTAAGCTACATCCCTACCTTCCCCCCCTTTTAAAATTCTGAGACAAATTTTCTCTATATCACTAAGGGGGGGCTCAGATTTGCTATCCTCCTGCCTCTACATCCCAGAAAGCTGAGATTACAGCATGTGCTGCTGTCTGGCTAAAACATTTATTAAAAGTATAGAATAAAGGTTTCAAAAGTGAAAGCCAGCTGCATCACCACATATGTGCTGGACTTTTGATCCTTTTTTTTTTTTTTGGTTTTTCTCTGGTACCGGGAATTGAACTTAAGACCTTGCTCTTGCCAGGCAGATGCTGTGCCGCTGAGCTAAATCCCTAGCCCCTTGGACTTTTGATCTTGTGGTCTTGGGGATGAACCCAGACCTTTACCCTGAGCTACATCCTTAGCCTTCTTTAAATTTGGATACAGGGTCTCCCTAAATTTCCAAGACTGGGCACAAACTTCAGGCACCCTGGTCCAGCCTCCCAGGATGCTGGGATGACAGGCAGGAGCCACACACCTGGCCCTGAATTTCATCCTCAATATCAGCTATGAAAACTAATTTGTTTGACTGAGGCCTGGAAACGGCAGCTGCAGCCCAAGCAGTACTAACCGTGTAATTCGCAACTGACAGTTTGAAATCCCTTTTCCATTAAGTTGATTTTTGCAGCAGTTTCTAAAAAAATTCTTCACAACAGTTTCCTTAAGAATCTTAGACTCAACCTTCTCATCCCAGCCCCTGCAGACTGAACTCAAGGCTTTGACTCTGTGCTGTATCCCCAGTCCATTTTTCATTTTAAACTATGAGCCAGGGCCTCACTAAGTTTCCCAGGCTGGACTCAGATTTGCAGTCATCCTGCCTCAGCCTCCCACAGTGCTATGGATACAAGCATGGACCACCAAACCTGGTTTGATTTTTTTAAAACTACTTTATGTTAGAAGGAGCCCTAGCTATTTGCTTTGTCAGCTTTCATTTTAAATATGGATACAGAAAAGGATAAGTCAACACAAACAAACATAAGCTTTAACTTTACTTTGAAGACATTTCTCAGACAATAAGTGCAGCTCTACTTCTTCAGGTGTAACGTGAGCAACCTTTACTAGAAATTCTTTAATGTGCATAAATTCAAATTCGGGTATAACAAATGTGACCATGACATGAAAATATTTCAGAATAGATAACTATTAAATACTACCATGTTTATAACAAGCAATGTATTCAGCCAGTGGATTTAAACATGCAGATTCAACTGGAATCATCTCTGTGATATTTGCACATAAAGGTAGCAGTATTGCTTCCATCCCTGAAGAACTAACTGTGCAGTTTAGTGGAAACACAATGGAGAATTGTCAGGCTGTGGTTGGCTGAGAGAATAGTGAACACAGTCAGGCCTCACGAGCATCTTGTGAGAAGTACTTACAGCTGCCTGCGTAGCCCTGAAGGTAAAAACAAGAGGGCGGTTGTTTTTCTTTCATCTCCCTGTTCTGAAAGGAAGAAACGAAAGTCAAGCCCGTGTCTTGTCAGAAATCTGGATGAATTGTGCCCTTACAGAACAAGTCATGTGACCCTACTTTCAAGTCCAAGAACTTCAGAACACTGAAGTTGGGGAAATAGATATATTTATTCAGGAAAGACCCCTAGAAATAGCAACACGACAGTTTAAGGTCAAACCTTTTAAAACAGTTGAATTTTCAGTGCATATACTTTTTCTGAACATTGGCACCACTCAGCCGAACAGTACAGTGACAGAAATCACCAATCCGAGCCCAGTCGCTCGAGTAGGACTGCTCTTTGGTAGCTCCATAGCATTTTCCCTAATTATTTCTCTCTGTACTAAGAATGGTTGTAATTGTTTAAACTTTAGGGATGACACACTCAGTTTGCTTAACCGGGAGAAGTACTAGTGGTAGTGTTTCCGGGGCTGTAGGGTGCTGTGGGCTCCTTCTAGAGATTTTACGCGGGCAGAATAGAGAGACATAGAAAAAAGTCAGGGCAAAACCCGAATGAATAACACTGTAACCTCATCACATGGGCTTATCTGTGGCTGATGATTATAAATTCATCATATGCTTATCATGTACCACGTGCTTGAGAAAGGAACCCTCCTGTATCCCTATGAAAGTGTTACTCACATTTGCTGCATGCTTAAGGAACTCCCACCTGACCTTGTCCCTTTCTCAGAAGCAAAGGCTAAGACCCTGATTGGCCTGGATTGTAGCAATCAGTGAAATGCTTACTTTTAGAAATCAGCTTACCCCTGTAAGTGTGAAGTTCAACTCAAACTCACCTCGCTCCCTGAGCAGGAGGCCCACTAAGCTGCAGCTCACTCTGCTGTTAAAGTAGCTCTTCTGCACTTGCCACGCTTTAAGTAAACTCTCACTGTGCACCCTATCAGTCTCGACTCCCCATTTTCTGCTAAGAGCCCCGCTCCTTCATTCTTTTCTGGAGTGAGAGCAAAGACCCGAAGTGAGGTGGGGGATCATTACTGGGGACACCATCTCCTCCTCCAAGACCAACCCCACCCCTCCCAGCCAGATGCAACTATTCTTTCTAAATTCTTGTTGTCCTGAACAAATTGAGCAAGACCAGTGCAAAACGTAGCAAGGTTTTCCATTTATGAAAGGCAGGAGTTTGTTTTGCAGAGTGAGAGCGGCCACTGAGAGAGTGAAAAGCCTCTTGGCGGTATTTATCAGCGTCAAGGTCTCCATGGGCTCCAGGACGCCTTCTATCTCCTGGCTGGCTATGCCAAAAACGTTTGCGGGGAAAGGAAAGGTTTCCAGGTTCTTGCTGTGTGCAACAGACAAAGCACTGGATCCTGCACCTAAAAGTATGGAAAAAGCAGCAGGTTTACTAAAGTTTAAAAGGCCAAGCTAGGCTCAGAGCGAGTGGGTTCACTCCAGCAGAAAGGAAAACAGCATGAACACGAGGGAAGAATGGCAGGAGGGGAAGGATGAAAATGGCCCAGGCGCTGAATGCACTTAGGGATTTGAAACATGCCTGCGCCTTGGCCGCTTCCCACTGGGTCTTTCAGAGCATGATTGACAGTGTGATTGACAGGATGCTGAGTTGGGATTTGGCCCTGGGGCATTGCCATTGCCCAAGTTCGAGTGAGTGGAGGGGGTGCAGCCCCATAGCTCCAGTTGTACTATCTATACTATTTTCTTCAGAAAGACCTGGTCCCTGGGAAATCTTTAAGGGTTGCAGAGGGTACAATGTCCACTTTCTGCTGCTACATCTTGCTGAATAGGGGCGGTGGCCCTACCTGCACAGAGGCCAGGGAACTCTCACCCTGTCTGGTCTAGGATTTCTTGACAGGCCACACATGTGGAGGAGGATTTTGGTCCTTGCCTCAGACCACTGCTATTAATTTCACCGCTGTTAAAAAAGAAGAAACAAATTTGACTAAAAGAGTAAGGGTGCATGGTCCAAATAGTGAAGCTATGAGAGGCGTTAAAAATGATTTTGAGCTCCAGGGCCAGGTAAAAGAGGGTGTGTGTTCCTGTCCTCTTTGCTGGAGACACAGGTGGGAATTAGTGCCACACAGGAAGAGGTGTCCCGGAGCCTCAAGACAGAAATTATTTCCAGTAGTACACACAGAGGTGGGTTGTGGCGAGCAAAAGAACAGCAAAACTAGCTACACAGGTCATGTAGGGAGGGACTCTCCTTCCAGGAATGGGCTGATTTTTTCCTTTTATTTAGAGAGAACCAAACTGTCTCCTTATCTAGCTCTGCAGGTGGGTTGGTGTTTTCCCTTATGAAAAGAAGCCGGAGGCCATCCAGTGCTTCACAGGTGTGGGTTTGGGGTCTGTATCCTGCTGTCTCAGGTGGTTGAGTTTTACCCTGGAGAGGTGACTCTGATAAGTATATAGAGGCAGCATCCCCAGGAATAGAAAAGGGTATTATTGAGATCAAGCACAGAATCAGTTAGAGTCTCCTGGGATCTGTGCAAGGAAGATGTGTGGATTTGCCGCTAGCAAGGTGACTTGGAACCATTGTCCTAATGACGATGATGATGATATTGTCCTTGGCTGTTGGTGACTTGGGTGTATTACATAGGGACCCTGTTGCCCACAGTGTGTCAGCAGCGGGCTGTAGCTCCTACCTTGCTGCTCTTTTAAGGTAACACTGCCTTCTGTGAGGGTGTAGACGAGAGCCGGTCAGTGGAACAATTACCAGGGTGGCCTTGACAGCCCATTGAAGTGCCATCATAATACATCTGGGATCCATTTCTGGCTAAGAGTCAGGCCAACAGAGCCAGCTTGCCCGGTCCCTGGTAACAGGGCACAGGTTGCCAGAGGTTTGAATGACAGAGTGACCCCATCAGGGAGAGAATATCTCTTCTAGTTACTGATGTGGGGCACTTTGGTCTTACCAGGAAGGCAGCTTAGAAAAGGAAATACCCCAACTGGCAGCTCAGAGTGGGAGTGAAGGAAGCTAACCAGCTAACTCCTTCAAGCCCACAGCAACTGAGGAATGGGTTGATAACTCACCCCATAAGAGATTAGAATTGAATCAGATACACCGATACCAGAAAGGCCTGCCTGCTACATCCAGAGTTACTCAGCGCTCTTACAAGGTGATGAGGAAGTTCTGCGTGTGGTCACACAGGCCACCTGAGGCACTGTCCAGGCATTCTCATTTTTCCCTGGCTACCACAGTAGTGGATGACCTCATCCTTTCTCCAATGCCACAGGTCCTCATCCATGCTCAGACAGCCCCAGCGAGGATCTAGAGGTTGTTAAGGTGCTCCTCTGCCCAGTGCCCTGGCCACCTGCCCTTGAAACACTCAGACTTGGCCCCATCACCCTTTGGATGACCTTAGTTCCCCTCTGGCCAACAGCTTTGTCCTGAGCTTTACCTATTAGGGCCAGCGTGGCTTTCCTTGGTGGTTTGTTCCTTTTCAACTCCTGTTTGTCCTCTTCTTTGTCACGGTTGTTAAATACCATGTAACTCACACCAACCAATTGACTTATCCCAGCTTGTGGGCCTGTTGGAGTTTCCAGAGTTTCCTCCTAATGTCTGGAGCTGACTGGCTAATAATATACCATTCCAGGATAATCTGAGCTTCCTGGATTAGTGTATCTATGGAGAGCCCCTTCAAGGTGGTGCTGAAAAGCAGCTGGATTTTCATCAGACCCCTTGACTGATGGCTCTGAGCTTATTGTCATTCACAGGCTTGGGCATGCCCTGACACACACCCACTGAGATGGCCCGGAGGTATAACCTCCTCTTGGCTTCTCCACTCCCAGTGTCACGATCCCACCAGGGGCCTTTCTGGTCCCCAAATTCTGCATCAGTTGGCTGATTATCATTGGGTGCATCTTCAAACACCTCATCACTGGCCTGTTTTTCAGCCCTTGTAGTCCTTTTGTTTTCGATTGCTGTGCAGCATGTGGGCAGGAGGAGTAAGAATCAGGTTGTGGGAACCTTACAGGGCATCTCCTGGGTCAGTTCTTACACTGGAACTTTACAGGGCCGCCCTCTGGGTCTGTCCATGACCTGCTCAGCCCCGGGGGCTCCACTCACAAAGCTGACTTAAATGGAATCATTGTTTCTTTGACAGTTTTGACATTTTCATACCTCAACA